TGAGGAACTTCAGAGGGAAGAGGTGAAGGAGGTGGAAAGAGATAAACCAAAGAACTTACGTGCATAGATGTATAACCAATGGACACAGACAATAGTGTGGTAAAAGCAGGGGCGATGGTGGGAGCAGGGAGGAGGGTGGTCAATGGGGGGTAAAGGGGGACATCTATAATACTTTCAACAATAAAGATAAATATTAAAATCTATCTGTCTATAGATATAGATATAGATATAGATATAGATATAGATATAGATATAGATATAGATATAGATATAGATATAGATATAGATATAGATATAGATATATAGATATCTCAAAGACTTTGTGCTTCAGAATCCCAAGGAGAGCTTTTGGAAATCACATATGTCTGACCACAACCCAAACCTTTGAAATCAGAATTTCTGAATGTTAACTCTAGCCACCTGCATATGTTAAAAGCCTTCTAGGTCATTTAGATGATCTCCAGAGCCTAAGAACAGCTTCTAGAACAATACTAGAACATAGTACAGTTACTTAGTTCTAAGTCTTTCATATTATAGAAAAATTGACCTAATACATTGCTGTCCAATAGTAATTAGCGAGACTATTACTAAATATTACTGGACAACCCAATGAGGTTAATGAATTTTTCAGGGCCAGTTTGCCTGCTGTCTGAGATTCAGAAGGGATGATCTGTCTAACCTATCACTTGGTATTCACCGCAACTGCTAGGATAATGAGTATGCCCCACTCTTTAGACTCTAAAGTTATTAGTCAAAGGAAAACTCAGGATCCAAGCAGAGACGACCTGAGTTCTTTTGAAGGAAAGAAGGTGGCATTCTTTCTCAGGCTAGGCTAGATGTGTAAATAATGAAGCATAGCAACAGCCTACTTGACAATGAACATAACATGTATAAAGAGAGACAGAGACAGAAACTGAATCCAAAGGACTCAGTTTGAACTCCTGGATCTTGTCATACCTGAAGCAAATAAATTCTAGCTCTTGGAATTCTTAATTACATGAACCAATAGATTCTATTTCTTGATTAAGCTAATTACTATTACTTGCTACTTTAAACAATTCCTACAAATACATATATTTGACTATTTGACAAAAGAACATTAGAAGTGATTTCCCAGGCCATTCTGTTTGTCATTAATCTCATCATCATTAGCTACTGTTACTTAAGCTGCGTTATCCTGGCAATTTTTATTATTTCAAAAAACACCATCATGTAAAAGAACATCACTGAAATGTGAAAGCACAATATTGGTCAGAAACAAATAAAATTGAATTTGTTCTCATAACTATAAAAACACCAGAATGTCTAGAATTTGCTTCCGATACAATTTAGGCCCTCTCTAAGGACAAAGTGACAGAAAGACAGGCAAAGTGTACTGAGGCAGATTCGTACACATTCTGAAACAATGCTAGCCTTCTATTGCTAAGATTGAGACAGGTCACTGCTCACAGACACGGAGATTAACTGTACCCCCCAATTCATATTTTGAAATCCTAACCCCCAGTGCGACTATATTTAGATATAGAGCCTCTAAAGAGATAATTAAGGTTAAGTGAGGCCATAAGGTGTCGTCTTAACCCAATAGAACTGATGTCCTGACAGCACCTTGTTCTTGAACTTCCAGCCCCTGGAACTGAGAAAATAAATTTCCGTTGTTTAATCCACCCAGTCTGTAGTGTTGTTTTGGCAACTGTAGCACATTAATATTCTTCCCTTTGTCTTTTTCAACTTTGTTTTGTGTTTTTGATTATTTTCAAATGAAATGAGAAATAGAGTACCTCAATGGCTATAAACTTGAAAATGTAAGGTTTTCCTTTAACTTATCAAGGAGAATTAAGCAACCATATCTATTATGTTGTGATCTGGACACATTGAAAACTTCTCTTTAACAAAAATAGTCACTTTGTCATTGAAATACCTACTTTAAAGGGTCAGGAGATTCTTATTTAAAAATTGCAAAAGTATTTAAGGACACACTAGATGTCTTGATACAGTAATAATAATTATTGGCTATTTTCTGTGATCAATATTTTACATATTCTTTTGGTACAGAAATCATGTTTTTAAGTGCAGGTGATAAAGTAAGTAATAGGGCTGAATGGGAATATACCAGAAAAAAGTTTTGGATGAAAGATGTTCTGGAATACAACATAAAGTTGTTTTATAGGGGATGGATGAATTATGTTATAAGCCATAGGGAGTTTTTGAAAAATGTAATGCACAGAATTGAGTATTTGTATTCAGTTAAAAAATGTATCCTTCAGCATTTTTAGAAAATAAAAATTTTAAATTACACAAAACATCATTAGAAAGATTGGTGTTTTTCCTTTTGATACAGATTCACATGAGAATTCCTTTAAATAGTTCCCTGTAATGAACAGCTGAAGGGTTGCTGGGATTCAGGTATTTTACGTTGCAAGGGATGAAGCCCGAATGTGAGTAAGAATTTAGGGGCATCAGGAAGTGGTAATAACTGTAACACTCCAGGAAACAGTCAAGAATCTGTAGGTTAAGCCCCAGGGAGATATTTCTTGGACACTTCACATGCAAACAAGTAACTGTGTTGTTCTAGGGAATTTGGTCTCGAGATTCACACTGTAGGGCATCACATTTCCAAAGGGGCCAGGCTGAGGGGCGAGTGATAGGTTGTGAACCTATATTCAGACTGTGCTTTAACTGGAATGATAAATAAGCCTGTGGTAGTCTAAGACTAAGTTTACTGCGGAATAGGAAGCAAAGTCAGTTCCCTCAAGAAGGCAGGAAAGCGGCTTGATCCCCTGAGGTTGTGTAAAAATGGGAAGTGGCGTGTTGGGTGTGTCTATTACAACTGCATTCCAGCACATAACTGGATGAATTTCAAATTCTGCTGGTGCAGAAGACCTGGCTGGAGCTGTAATGAGTATTTTTTATTTATTTTTCCTTCTAAGTGGCTCTGGGGAGAGCCAGGCTGTGAGAATCAGCTGGGATAAGGACTCAACAGGACGAGTGCTAACTGCTGGATCCCTAACTGATTAAAATCTCGGTTTCAATTTACAAAACATATTAGCCATACACACCATTAGGGAACACATCTATTGTGTTAACGGAACGCTGTGTGTTTTTAGCAACAATTTTTGGCATCATATAAAACTTAAAGCAGTATATCACTGCCAAGAACGAGCAGCATTTATCTGAGTTACCCGGAGCCATCGCTGCTCAGGTACACTCTGTGCGCAAACCATAACTGGGGCTCCTGAGAAAAGTGAGGACATGAAAAAGAGATGCAATAAAACAGGGACATCAAAGTGGCCAAATTATATTGAAAAGAAGAAGTTAAAATTGAGCCAGTTACCGGAATAAAGATAGACTAGCAACAGGTGGCTCCTTCCCTGCCCATCGGTAACTCACTACTGATAATGGGAGCTTTGTGAGCATTCCAGGAAGACTACATCTCTCAGTCATATTCTTGGGGGGAAAACTGGAGGCAACAGATGGAGGGGTCTATGAAGGCAGAAACATAAATAAAGATTAACTGAGAGTGCTTTTTGGAATTTGACCTAATGGAAGTCATGCTGTATGAATTTTTATCTCCTTTGGGTCTTCAAAGTATTAGGCTCATTCTACAAAATCACACTGCTCATGACAAATCTTTCTCTTTTCCTTCTTCCTCTCTCCATACCTTCCATACTGCATATTTGTGGTATTTACATGTAAGACAATACATAACACCAGTGTGGGAGTGTGGAATGGCGTTGTGGTTCCAAACAGGGACTTTGGAGACTGATAGACTTGGCTTGGAGCTCCTGCTCTTCCTTCCACTGATTCACAGTAAGCTTCAGTTTCTAATCTCAGATGGGAACAATAATAGTACTTACCTCAAAGACTCTTCTGAGGATTAAATGAGATAATGCAGCGAAAGCTCCTGGTACACGGCAAATGTTCTCCAAATGTTCATTATTATGGGTATTTAGTGATTGGAGGAGAAGGCTTTACTTTGGTCAGTTGAATGCTTTGAGCAAGACCAGAATTCATTTATGATTAAGTCCTCAGTAGACATCAAGTGAAAGACAAGTTGATTGTTCTTATCATTGTATGAGTTTCAAAGTAAGATATGCTCAAGTCACATCCTAGTTATAGCCTCGTGGGCATGAGCAAAGCACAGTAAAACATGCTAACAATCCACATAGTAGTAATAGCCATGTGTGGGACAGAGCTTCACACAGTGTTTAATTATATGGTAGGGATTCTTTTGCTTGAGTGAAACACTTACCCTTCCAAGTTAGGGTGAGAACATAGAGATAAACCATGTGACTAGCACTAGAGCTTGGTTCAGACTTGCTTTCTTTTCATTATACATTATTAAAGTTGGTATAATTTGAACTGGGCATTTAGCATCTACTTTTTGTCTAAAAAGAGAAGCCCTTCTCCCCTAATTTGGAAAGTTCAGGTTAGTGTTTCACACACTGAAGAATCTATTTGTAGTCTGAAGTGTCATATAACTTGCAAATGGATCCCCCTGGAATCATCTCCTGGGATCTCTGGGATCTGGGCCATTCTGTGGCCAACATGGACCAAGGCCTGCTCCAGGGCAGAGTGGGAGGAAGGCACGTTTAGTTAAAGCATGGACAAAGAGATCCAGTTATTCTCCAGATGTTTGCACTGACTGGTTGGTCAACCTTGCCAGTTTGCCAATATTTAGGACTATCTGACAATTGGCCGATTCCTCCCCCGAAACCTCTTCTTTTTTTTTTTTCCTGGAGACTTTGGTATCATTCAGGCACAAACCCAGACTACTAGTGACAACTCTAATTTATTTCAACACTTCTGCAACTTTCTCATCAGCAGTGTCTTGGGCTCAAGCTTTGTCTTTCAGAGCCTGGACTCTTGTTTTATGAGCCTGACATTTTTCTTCTGACTCTATTGACAGCTTGTGTCCTCTGCATGCACTCTGTTTAGTTGCTGTTTTTATTTATAATTTATGCTCTTCTGCTGACTCAGACTCCTTGATTCATGATCTGGTCACACCTGCATTGCTCTATCTAATGTAAAATCTTATCTTATTCTCTAGCATCTCCTTTTTGTCCATGACATTTATTTGGCTTCCTAAATTTTCATTTTGCTTTCACTCCTTCTAATTATAGATTTGAAATGTCTGCATTATACCAACAAGGAACATCGATTTTAGTTCAGAGAGACCACTGTAAACCATACCTTATGTATTTAAAGTACTTTATGATTATATAGAGCATTGTCTCACACACAATATTTCATGGGATCCTCACAACAACCCTGTGAGGTAGGTGTTAAGATGTCCATTTCACAGGGAAGGGAGTGAAAGTGATCAGACACATACAGGCACACTACTTAGAATTATACTACAACCTAATGCTGTGATTCCTGGGACTATGTGTTAAACCTTGAAGGAAGGGGGAGTTATGAACATATGGTCTATTAATAGAGAGATATGAAAAAATAACATGAAATCCCACGCATTTCCTATTCCTCTTCTTACCTTTTCTCCTTTCTCATTTCTGGACCTTTCTTCACCTACACAAACTATCTTCAGTTTTACTGAAATATTTCTTTTTCTCCAGGATCTATAATGGATATTTATAGCACAAAATATAAAGAGCTTTTTACAATAAAAAATTATCAGCATTATTTCTTCATGATCAAAAATTCTTGCTTGAAACAGCCAGGTAATTTGAGAAAATGAGTTTTGTCTTTTATTCAAATGTGCTGAATGAACTGTTCAAGCTCCACTTTACCTCACTATGAAACTTGAAAAAAATGCTATAGTTTGGAGAGTAAGAAGACGAGAAGGTAAACTAAGCAAATCAAATCAATTTACCTTTTTAATATTCTAAGGAATTTTAAAATCTTGATCTCTCCTGAACACTGTAGAACTCTGCCCTTCCTCCAGTGCTGTTCCGCTGTGTTGCATGACTGCCTACTTACATGTCTCTGTCTTTCACGGACAATGAACTCGCTAAGGCCACACACAACAACTATCTTATTAGCTGTGAAATCTAGCTCCAGCAGGGACAGGGTAAACATATGTTGAGTGAATGAATGAACAGATGAATTTTCTTTTATGTAATCTCTATCACTGGTTGAGAAGAGTGTTTTTCAATGTAAAGAACTCCCATCTAGTCAGTGCTGTTGAGATTTCTCTTAGAACCCAATGGGTTAAATTAATTCAGCAAGTACGAGATGAGTGGGTAGCAGAGGACTCCTGGCCTGGCTCTGAGGGCTGGCTGGGAAAACATGCCAGTCAGTACAGTGGAAGGCATCCCAGTTAGGGACGCTAGGGGATGGTAGCAATGGTGGAATGTTGGAGTGGGGAGAGGTATGAGCATGAGTACAGAGGTCCAAACAGTACCCAGGACTAGGCGAGGAAGCCATGAGGAAGCCGGCACCACACGGGAATCAAGTTTGTTTGGAGGAGCCACAAAGGGATCTTGGAGTCAGTTGTGCTGATGACTTGTCCAGAGGTGAAGGGCCTTTTAATGAGATGGTAGCACAGGGTGTCCCGCCCAACCCACCTGATCTTAAAAGGGCCCTGCCCTAATATGATCAGGGAGTGGTACTGGTCCTAACACATATATAAAAGAGGAAATCAATTATTATTTGTATTATATTTAAATCATGCCTGAAAAAATATAAAAAATGTATATTAAAATAATTTAATGTAAATTTTTATATATCAGAATTAATTGAAGATGTGGGGCATCAGGCACTTTCATACAGAATAAATTGATACACTCTTTTAGGAGCCACTTGCAAGAAACCATCAAATTGTATAATGCATGTCATTTTTGAACTATGGATTCTACTTCTAGAAAATTCTCTATTAAAAAATATTCCCATAAGATTATGTATGAGAATGCTGTATGTAGCATTGTTTTTTAAAGCCAATCAAAGCAAACAAAAATCTTCAAGTATTCATGACTAGGAGATTGAATAATATGTTATGGTAATTATGGTATAGCTGTATAATGGAACACTGTATAGACATTGAGAGCAGAAAGGTAGAGCCATATGTACTAACATGGGCAGATGACTGACATATTAATGTAAATAAGTGAAAATCAGAACATACTGTATAGATATTTGTGTATATGATTCTCTCTTTTTGAAACATTACAGAGTTATATATATGGAGTCTGGAGGCTATATATACTTATACACAGAAATATCTGTCTTAATGCTTTCTCAAAGAAAGAATGCACATAAACTTCAAAAAGCCATGAAAATATCTGTAATTGAAAACATTTTTAAACACATCTTTAAAAAAAATGTTCAAAGCATTTGATAACCTCAGGTAACAGAAGACTGTGCATTCAGTTTACAGACTGCCAAATCAACAAGTCTTATATTTGCCAAGATTAACCAGAGTCAAAGTTAAGTAGCTCAAAGAAAGACTCAGGAAAAGGAGATAAAGAAGAACCAAAGATAAAGGTAGAGATAAAGATAGAGAAAAACATGAAGATAGGGAGAGAGAGTTATATAACGAGCTCAGCTGAAAATAAATGGAATGACAAGGAGAAAGGGAAAGTAGAAAAAAATATACTGCAGACCAAAGTGATCAAAGGAGAAAAGATACACTAATGTTCCTATATCTTAATATAATAACAATAATCATTGCATAACACAAAGCACTTTGAGGAGACATACAATGCTCAGTGTTACTTAATTCAAGGGCAAACAGATCAACAATGCAACAATTATGGGAGGTGTCATGTTGTTATACCATACTTTAATATCTGGCATTCACAATGGTGACCCTAAATTGTCCAAAGGTGGCATTCATACACAGTATTAGGTTAAAATAATTAGTTAATGTAGAGAAATTGGTCTGTACTTTTTAAACAATAATTAGAATGGAAAACTGCTAGATTTTTTTGGTATATTAAAGGATTTGCCATAATCTGTCTAAAACAGATCCCTAATGGGTAAAAATTATGAGCCCTATGTATGTGTACCAGCTATTTCCACAGACATACACACACATCACATGTCACTCCTATTGGGAATGCAGGGGAGGAACTCTTGAATTCTGAGAAGTCAAGTAGGGATTCCTTATCCCCTTTCATAATCCTTTCATTATGTCTGTGTAGATTTGACCAAGACAATAATTGCCTTATGGCATGACATATTGAAGACATCTCAACTAATATTAAGTTTTTAAGGCCCAATTTACAAATTCTCTACATTACAATATGAGGTTAGCCCTCCATCGGACTGATATCCCTTTTGTGAAATCTATTCTGTTACAGTTTTGAAGGTCTTGGATATAGGATACCACTTTTCAAGTTTTAGTAAAATAAAACAAAACACAAAAACCCCAGCCATCTGAGAATTGGCCTGTCAGGACTCTTAGACTGTCCAGATTCCTCTATTAATATTTCAGTTAGCTCTGTTAATAGGTAAGAAGGCTGTAATTGTTTCTATTCATAAGCTCAATTTTCCTTCAGCAGATAGAACTTGGCTTGAACATTGAACAATTTTCTACGTGCAATTTTCTCTGTGCTCATCACAGAAACAAAATACAAATGGGTAATGAGATTCAAAGAGTTGTATAATTGTAATCTATTTGTTTTACTCCAATTAGCACACTGTATTTGTGGAAAACTGTGGCTGACTTCCACAGTCTTTACGGATCAATGCAGAAATTCTTAACAGTGGCTTCAAGCCCAGACCACTACTATCAAAGTGTGTTTATTACCAAGGTGCGCACAAAAAAGCAAGAAACTATAAACTTACATAGTGTGCTTCTACTCCCTTTTTCCCCCTTCTGGCCTTTTTGTCCAGGATTTCCTTTAGGGTGAGAGAGAGAGGGACAAAGAAAAAAAAAAAATTTCAATATTAGGGAAATTCACAATGCTTGCTTTAAATGGAGACAGAACATCACAACGTAATCTAGAATATCATTTTATAACAACCTACAGAAATTCAAATATCATAATTATTATTATATTATTTTAGAAGCCCTATTACAAACCTGGCACTGTTCTGGGTAGATGCTTTATACACATTATCTTAAATTATAAAGTATATTAAATGTCCCATTTTCCTAAAAGCAGGCAAAATTGAGGGCTAATCGACTTGGTTTGGGCTTATGCATCTTTTTTTTTTTTTTTTCTCTTTCTCTTCCTTTGTGCCCCAGGAATCCCAGTTTTTCCACCTCAATCTAAACTGCTGTTCTCTTTCCATGACAATTTGTCTATCTCGTTTTCCATTTCCTGAGAGTGCCGCATCCCAAAGACCGGGCTGTGAATGCACTTCCGGGAGTGCAGTCCCTGGCCCGCTGGATAGGAAATGCTGGAGGTCAAGCCGAGCAAGCTGTTTGAACCGGCCTGGCAGATGGTTCTGGTGTCTGCTCAAGTTGGAGAACCACAGACCTAAGGAAATTCGGTGCATCTTTTAGGTCAGCACTGACACTGTAACACGTCTTGCTGCACAGAATCGGTCGCTCTCCGCTCTGCTCCCACAGCACTTTGTCCTGCTGCCTAAGTGCTTCCTTAACCACACTCATTAGAGCTGACCCTGCTGCCTCTCTGTCACCTGACCCTCGCGTCAGCAGCTGTGCTATATTTGTCTCCAACACACAGTAAACTCTCATGAAATTGTGTTGACTGGGTGCATGAATGAATGAATGCTTCCCCTTTCTGTGTAGATTTCTAGAAAAATAAGTTAATCATTATAATTTAATGTAAATAGGAAGTTAAAAATAAACTGCCAGTTAAAGAATCCCAAGCAAGATCTCACCATCATTTGCCAAGGATAGTAAGTGATTAGCTGTTTGAGATAGATCGTAGACTCATACACCATTTTAACTTTAAACTTAGAATTAGATAAAATATGTTTTCGCGCTTCACTGAATTATTTTGAATTGTCTTGGAATCTATAGGTGGCTTTGTAGTTTTGTCAAATTCAAGATTTTAAAATATTTATCTATTGAACCCAAATTGCCCATATAGGAAATTCACAATTCCTGAGTGATGGAGACAGTTTCCAACAAATGAACAAATACTTCTTCTCGTGTTGCCAAAAAGGTCTGATTAAAGCTAGATGGTTGTAGAGGTGGTTGTACATAAATACTCCATTCAGTTCAGGTAACGAGGTCTCTGGTGGAAACTGAGTGTATGTTGCTTACCCGTGGCTAGCTTTTTCTCTAAGCCTAATGCCACTGACACAGTCCACATAATGCCACATAAACACTGATACTATCAAAAATACCTCAACACACCTACTAGAATTGCTAAAATCCAAACACTAACAACACCAAATGCCTGAGAATGTGAAGTAATTGAAATTCTCATTCATTTTTGGTGGGAATGCAAAATGGTACAGCCACTTTGGAAGATAGTTTGGCAGTTTCTTACAAAGCTAAACATGGGTTTACCATGCACTTCTTGGTAAACACATGTTCACACAAAAATGTGCATATGAATGCTTAAAGCAGCTTTATCCATGACTGCTAAGACTTGGAAGCGACCAAGACTAAGATGTCCTTCAAAAGGTGAATGGATTAATAAACTATAGTACATGCATACAGTAGAATATACCGGATATTGCAAAGAAATGAGCAAACAGGCCACAAAAAGATATGCAGAACTTAAATGCATTCACTTAAATTGCTAAGTAAAATAAGCCAGTCTGAAAAGATCACATATGGTTTGACTCCAATTATATAACATTCTGGGTAAGGTAAAAGTATGAAGGTAGCAAAAAAATCAGTGGCTGACAGGGGTTAGGGAGGAACAGGGGTGATGATGAGTAGGTAGAATGGGGCACAGGGGATGTTTAGGACAGTAAAACTGCTCTTTATAATAGTATAATGGTGGATACATGTCATTATACATTTGTTCATACCCATAGGATGAACATCACCAAGAGTGAATCCTAATGTAAACTGTGGGCTTTAATAATAATGTATCAATATTGTAACACATGTGTCACATTAACGCAAGTTATCGATAATAGTGGTAACTGTACCTGGATAGGTGGTATATGGGAAATCTATATTTTTTGTGCAATTTCTCTACAAACCTAAAACTATTCTAAAAAACAAAATCTATTAAAAAAATGATCAAGATCATATTCTCTTGGTCATTATTTACTTTAAAATTAGGAAAAAAATAAATCTACTCAAGTCTAAAATTTCTGTGCAAAGTTCATAAGTCAAATCTAGGCTTCTGACTAGCATAAGGAATAGAAATAATATCATCATGTATGTAAATTTTAAAGGACGTGAATAATTAATTATTAAGTAGTAATATATAATAGCAGGCAGTTTGTCTTGCATAGGATAGGATTTCAGGCCCGTCTGTATTTTGTATAACTTAAGAGGGTTTGGCCAGTTTTGGTTAAAGCAATATTTATACTTTGCTTGTTTGTTTTTCTTTGCCCGTCTTTCCACTCTTTTTGTTCTAAAATAGATACCATTCTTCACAGTGATTTATGGTTGTGTGAAGTTTATAAATCCTCTGCTGTTTTTTAACTATTTTCTTTTGGGACATAGAAACTTTCCTCAGGAAGACAATAATCAATTTTAAAATGTTTCAGACTACTAAATATATTGCCTGTGAGTGCTGCTATTCATACTATGATGACCATTTTTTTTTTTTGTTATCTAAGAAGTTGAAAAAGTGTCTATGATCTGATGTTTGTTATACATATTCTATGAAGAAAATATACATTATTATAATACCTGTCCTCCCAGACTTCCCTGCTGGTCCTGGATATCCTCGACTTCCAGGAAAGCCAATAGATCCCCGATCACCTTTAAGACCTGGAGGGCCTGCATGATTAATGAATAAAAACACAGTGATAATAATTCCTTTTTCATACAGACTTCAGAGTATAATTAAATAATATAGTTTCATTAATGAATATGAAATAGGTGGATCTCTAAATGTAGTAATAATATCTTTCTTAAAATTTTATGTGTGACATTGACAGATGATATAAACAATAAAGTAAAAACGTTAGTATATTTAGTGCATTGTAGGTTTTCAATAAATAACACTGCTATTGCTAATAAAAACATATTAGAAAAAAAAATCTCAGTGTTTTAACCAGAAGGCTTATGTCATCTAATCAGAAATCTTCAAATGGCAGGATTTTGCTGTAGCTAAAACAATAATTTTCAAATATATAAACAGAAAATTGAAGTCTTAAGATTTGTCCCAGAGAAAAGCACAGGTCAAACAATGACAAGTATCAAAGAGTATTTACCTTTAAAAATGGGGTCCTAGTTCTGGAATATATTACTCTAGCCCTCATTGACTTTTGAAAAAATATTCCATTGTGATCCCAAACAACAATGTAACTACACACACACACATACACACACACGGATGAAAACAGCTGTTCTTTTTCCTAAATTACTGTGGTGACTATGAAAACTGCATATAAATGCAAATATTATTTTCCTGTGGAATACAGTATTCCATTCTGAAGTCCAGTAGCTTGAGAAAATTATTATAAAATCTCATTTTATGTGTCATTATCAGTCCCAGAAATCCTAGGAAAGCACATTATGAAAATTTGATTATAGATCTGCCAATGTCAATCTCCTAATATATTGCCTTTAGTTTACAAGTTCCAGGAGGCAGGGCTTATACATATTTAATTCTCTAAAAAATACTTTCTTAAGTTTTGTTCATATAGACATCTAAATTTGGGCTCATTGTTCTCTAAGAAATATTTAGTTTAAGAAGTATATTATTCTAAATAGTTAAGAAATATTATTCAACCTAGTGTAAAATTTAGATTCCAATGTATATTAAGCAGATATCCAAATGATAAAATATGTTTAGAATATTACTAAAGTCAGGGCATCTCCTATAATTAATTCAATTACACAATATATACTATTGTATTGGTATATATGTATATATATAGATAGATAAATTGTATATATAATATATATTTGTATACATAGCATACAGCCTAAAAAAGACCTAACATCAGTTCTCAAAACAGGCTGATAGGTTAATATTTATACCTTTCTTCATTCTTCAAACAATGTAGTAAGATCTTTGCCCTTGCAATTATTAAGATCTGTCACTCATATTTACAAATAAAAACATTGACCCTGAACTTTCTTATTTCTTCATCTTAGAACATTCTCCACTTTTTATAGAGTGCCATTCACTGGTGACTCCTATTTTTACCATTTTCTCCATTAATGCAACAAAAATATACTGAGCATGCTTATTGTTCCAGTCCCTGTTCATCCATGGAGTTACAAAGGTTTTTATCCAAATAGATCTTTCTGTGTGGAGACAGATGGTAAGAAAGTTAACCAATAAAAATAGAAGGTAATTTTGGAGGTAACGATTTTAGAAAAGCAAAGAAATGTAACAGAGAATTCCTTGGGGAATCAGAAGGAGCCTCTCCAGGGATGGCTCACTGAGTACATCACAGTGACGTTCAGAATACAGCGTTCAACCAGGGATTATATTCCATTTTCAATAGGTGAACAAATGTATAATGTGATACTAGAAATTACTCAATTATTAGACCTCTATTATTAGATTTGTTTAAGCAGATTCTGTATAGTCCATAGAGTAGTTATATGACTAGTTTGTTTAATGATGTTTGGAAATACGACCCCTAAATAGAGGCACTACTACTGAATTTTATTCCAAGAAACAATATTCTCTGAGCATTTCAGGTGTCAATTAGCTAATTTTCTGCAATAATCTGTGGCAAGGGGAAAGGATCTTGTACCTGCTTGTAATCCACAGGCAACACAAGTGCCTGGTACACAGAATCACAGCTATGAAATAGAGTTTCAAGAGTTTCTATTTTCTTCCATAGAAGAAATCATGCCTCTTTGAAGGAAAAATGAACTCCATCCTAACTGTGGATATTGGAGGCTTTAATTAGATGTACAGGCAGGATTTTAATGAACTTGCTCAAATCAGGAAGTAGTTATCCTGACAATCCATCATATACCTTTAACTTCTTATTTCAGTACAAAGAATGGGGCACTTAGGCATTTGGGCAGGGAACAAAATGAGAATGCAGCAATTAGGTAGGGAAGAAGCCATTAAGAGAGATGCCTGAGAACTTGAGTACTTCTGCTGCAGTACACCAAACAAAATGATGACCTAATGATCTAAAAGTCAACTGATCACCCCAGCAAATGGAATCTTTCTGTTATGAGGGCCTGGATAATGCCTATTTGTGTGAATGAGCCGTGCGTTAACAATAGCCTAAGCCCTCACTACAAAAATCAAAGTAGCTTTGCAATGGTATCTGTTTATGGTATTAACTAAAGCTAAAGCTTTAAAATCCCTCTTTGTATTTCATACATCCATGGTTCAGAAATAGCTGCAAAAGATGCTCCCAGATGAGACTTTGCATGGCAAGTTGTAGCCCAGTCTGCACTTTTATGAGTGAATTATAAAGCATTGACAATTGCACTTTGTAATGGAGGAGCTGACAGACCTCTGACAATAGCAGCTTTGGCAGCTGACATAATCCTGGTTACTTCATCTGTTTATGACATTAATGCACCATTATTAAGATCTGCTGAATGCTAGTCAAGTAGAAAGACTTTTCTGAATAAAGAAATCTTACCTCACAGTACTTTCAAAGACACACAAACAACCCATTTATACACACACACACAAATATTTTAGATACGATTTTTAAAACTTTTTCATGTAAACTTTACATACTGGCTTTTTAACACAATAATATAAAGGTCAGGCAGGTGTAAAATTCAAGCTTTTTACTTTTAAAAATTATTTTTCTGATGTAATCTGGGCTTGTCAATACACTGATCAGAAAAAAAGGAACATTTTATATAATCAAAAGACATAAAAATAAGAAGTGCATGGTATTTAGACACTTTTTGTCAGTACAAACCATCTAGTTATAATTAGACCATGCAGTACACTCCCCACTTTCAAAAAGCATGTTGGGTATTTGATTTCTAGCCAAAATAACATGACAATCATGTTATTGTTATCATCTTCTTTATTTTCTTGGGAGCAAAGAAAGTTTATGCTCTTTCTCCTTTTCTGTCTTCTATTATCTTCTTTCAAAATATTGCTTTCAAGATTACAGCATAGAGGAAAATAATTGGAAACAATTTTGCTCTAATTAAGTACAGAATGTCGGACAGCAAAGGTAAAAGTCACCTGCGTTCAAGTCACTATTTACATTTGGATTTTGTGGGTTTATGCAGATATATTCCACTTAAGGACTATCCAAGAAATATAAGCCAATTTTCCTTTGACTTATATTAATGTTTGTTTTTTTTGTATCTCAAAAACCAGACAACTTGCAAATATATTCAACATGAAGATGATTTTCATGTTCTCCTTCACATGTATCTAAAGCTGGATCAGTGCCATATACTGTCTGCAGTCCAAGGTACAGGTAGCACTCCCTTGATTTATGAGGGTTATGAACAACCCCACGTAAAAGCTCTGGCTAAAGCACTTAACCTGCTTCAGAGTCCATGCTTGCCATTCAGTACATTATAGTGATTAGGCTGCTGGAGCAGGTGATATGCCCGTCAATGCATACACACACCACATACATACATGGATGTGTATATGAGTAGTAGTTTCGATTACCATACCCATTGGACCTGGAATGCCTGCAGGACCAGCTTCTCCAGTGAGGCCTCTATCTCCCTTCTCACCTTGGGGTCCAGGAGGACCTTTAAAAAAGAAATTACAATTACTAATCATAGTTTAAAAGCACAGGTAAAAATTTATGTGTGATTTGTTAAGACAATTGTGTAAGTAAATCCACAGTCTTTTATTTGTTACACAATAATACAGAATAAATAAGACTGACCTTCCTCAATAGAAGCATACCTATATTGAGTAGTGCAATGCCCTATACTTACAAAAACAAGATAGCCCTAAATTAGACACCCTAATGAGATATAAATATTTATGTGTGTGTAGAACTTTTCTAGGTTCTCATAAGCTGGGAGCAGAGGAGACACTGAGCCAATGATGGCACAATGGTATTGTGCACATACCTGACATATTTCACTATATGGAGTTCGATGCCACGTGGAAATGTGTAAAGATTTATAACTCATGAGTGATGATACCCGCAAGGGAAACAACACCACACATAGTAGACAACCAAAACAATGTAGTTGAAAGTGACAAACTCAGGTATCTGTTAGATTCAGATCAGCATGAGTAGCGATGCTTGAAAGGACTCTATTGAGGGAGTGGGATTTGCAGGGTACTTTGAACACTCAGTAGAATGAGCCAAGAGAGAATTCTGGGTAAGTGGGAGAGATCTGGGGAATGGCAGGCAGGTGAAAGTGAGTGAAGGAATCATTTTTCAGGTAAAATATTAAATAGAATTCCTAGATAGATATTATAAAATAAGTTGGAGGGATTGCAGGGAAAATTTTGACTACTTGGCCACATAATTTCCCGGGTGTCCCTGAGTACTGAGTTAGATAAACATTAATATAGTCATTTGAACTTTCCATACCCAGCAAAACAAATATATTATATGTGGTGATCACTTCTTTAGAATGATGGTACTGTGCATGTCTTTATTATTTTTTTTAATTAAAAAAATTTTTTTCTTTATTGCTTTTAGAGAGGGAGGAAGGGAGAGGGAGAGAGAGATAGAAACACTGATGATAGAGAACACTGATTGGCCGCCTCCTGCATGCCCCATTGGGGATTGGGCCCAGAACCTGGGCATGTCCCCTGACCGGGAATCAAACTGGTGACCTCTTGGTGCATGGGTCCACACTCAATCAGTGAGCCACAGGTGGCCAGGCCTGAGCATGTCTTTAAAACCTAAAGGCATACTACAAGTATTTCCTCTTCCACAGAGTGAACAGAGCAAATATTATTCCCTACACTTAAAGATGGGGCTACAAAAATAAGTAAAGATTATTTCATGAGTAAGCATATTCAATCCATTTCCTGTTTCTTGTCTCTGCTTCTCTCTGTTTTTTTTTTTTTTTTTAATCTGTGCCATTTTTTAAGGTCTAATTTGCATTTTAGAACCTTTCTTTCCTGCTTACTCAATTTTTAAGATATAATTGTTCTTCTCAATGGTACATTGTCCCTTTCTCTTCATATGCAAGATTGAACAGTAATGTTTTATTTTATTTTCATTGCAAAAGTAACTCTAGGCATTATAGGAACTATAAAAGCCTAGAAAAGATATGAGAAAAATATGATTTATAATCCCATCATCTTAAGAGAACAACCTGTACATTTTTCCCCCTGTATTCATGTGTGTTGTTTGTTTCTACATACTTTTTTTCACATCATCATCATCATGCAAACTATATACTACTGGGCATTAAGTAATTAAGTAATTAACTAGCAAATTCTTCTAAGTTATGTTTAATGTGGAAACAGAAATATTTCACAAGAATGTGGTTCTGTATCAGTGGGGGTGTGTACAACTCCTATCCATGTAGAACACAGGGCTTCCCAACAGAGGGAGGCTCTTCCCCACCATGAATACGGCAGCGGCTCCCTCTGCACAGTGAGGAAGGACAGGGCAAGCAGGACAGAAAGATTCAATGTGCAGCCTGAGTTTCACTGAGCAAATTGAAGGGAAGTGAATCCACAATACCCAAGGATGGTGATTTGTTGTTGTTTTGTTTTTAAAGTGGACAAGCAAAAACTTTGATTTAGTAATTTGGGCTCTAAAGCAAGACACAGGTATTTCAGGAAAAATTAGAATGTGAGACAAGAAACAAAGGACACAGACACTAAATCTCTCTTAGCCTCTAAGATTAAGAGTTTTCACCATTTCTTTAGTAAGAAATGAAACTCATAATCACTAATTATCCTTTCAGTTATTTTGCACTTAACTACGTACAGTAACTGCATACAGTTCCAATGTTGGAGCATTAGTTCAGTCATAACGAACATTATGCCAAGTGAAATAAGCCAGACAAAGCAAGGCAAGTACCACATGATCTCACTCATACGTGCAATCTCATAAACAAGCTGAACTAACAAGCAAAACAGAGACTGACTCATAGATAGACAGCAGGCTGACAGCTCAGGGCAGGGGGTGGATGGATTGAGCAAAAAAAAAAAAAAGAAGAAAGAACTTAAGAATTCATGGACACGGACAGCAGTATGGTGATTGCAGGAGAATGGGTGTGGATTGGGGTGGAGGAGGGGAAAGGAGGATAAAAGGTGATGAAAAATAAAATAAAATATATAAATAAATAAACCAGAAAATACAAATGCATATTATTTTATAAAATTCTGAGTTAAGATGCCCCTCTTCCGGTGCTCGCAGCTCAGAAATGGCGGGATTTGGTGCTATGGAGAAATTTTTGGTTGAGTACAAAAGAGCAGAGGAGAAGAAACTGGCAGAGCACAAATGTAACACCACACAGCAATTGAACTAAAATTAGTTCGTTCTCCTGAAGATCTTGAGAATGACATTAGAACTTTCCCCCCTGAATATACCCATCAACTCTTTGGGGATGATGAAGCTGCTTTTGGTTACAAGGGTCTGAAGATCCTGTTATATTACATTGCTTGGAGCCTGTCAACAATGTTCCATGTTGAATATGCATCGAAAGTTGATGAGAACTTTGTGTAGAGGCAGGTGATGTTGAGGGCAAAATTATACAAATCATTCCACCTGGATTTTGCACAAACACAAATGATTTTCTGTCTTTGCTGGAAAAAGAAGTTGATTTCAAGCCATTTGGAACCTTACTCCATACATATTCTGTTCAAAGTCCAACCAGAGAAAACTTTACCTTTCAGATATACAAGGCTGACATGGCACGTAGAGGCTTTCGAGAATATCATGAAAGGCTTCAGACCTTGTTGATGTGGTTTATTGAAACTACTAGCTTTACTGACATGGATGATGAAAGATGCCACTACTTTCTAGTATTTGAGAAATATAATAAGGATGGAGCTGCTCTTTGCGACCGTAGGCTACATGACAGTCTATAATTACTATGTGCACCCAGCCAAAACCTGGCCACGTGTAAGTCAGATGCTGATATTGACTCCATTTCAAGGTCAAGGCCATGGTGCTCAACTTCTTGAAACAGTTCATAGATATTACATTGCATCTCCTTCTGTTCTTGATATTACAGCAGAAGATCCATCTAAAAGCTATGTGAAATTAAGAGACTTTGTACTTGTGAAGTTTTGTCAAGATTTGCCCTGTTTTTTTCCCGGGAAAAGTTAATGCAAGGATTCAATGAAGATATGACAATAGAGGCACAACAAAAGTTCAAAATAAATAAGCAACATGCTAGATGGGTTTATGAAATTCTTCAACTACTGGTAACTGACATGAGTAATGCTGAACAATACAGAAGCTATAGATCGGATATTAAAAGAAGACTAATTAGCCCGTATAAGAAAAGGCACAGAGATCTTGTAAAATGAGAAAATGTCTCAGACCAGAAGAACTGACGAACCAGATGAACCAGACAGAAATAAGCAAGCAACGTGAACAGCTGGAAGAAAGCTTTCAGGAACTTGTGGAAGATTACCGACGTTTTATTGAACGCCTTGCTCAAGAGTAAACGTTATACTGCTCTGTATAGGAAATTTGCAAATTTCTGTACATGGTGTTCTGTATGTTGTGAAAATATGATGATTAATTTTAAAATCTTGTAACATTTTACTTACATTATAAGGTATCTATCTTTAAAAAAAAATGCCCCTCTTCCTATTTTTATATAAAAACACTGATACCAATTGGTAGTTACAAAATAGTCATGAAGATGTCAAGTACAGCATAGGGAATAAAGTCAATAACACAGTAATACCGGTGTAGTGTCAGGTGGATGGTAGACTTATCGAGGGATCACTTCATAAGTTACATAAAAGTCTAACCACTATACTGTACACCTGAAACTAATATAATGTTGAATGTTTACTGTAAATAAAAATTAATTTAAAAAATAAACAAAGGCATTTCTTAAAACAACAACAAAACCTGATAACAGGTATCTGAATCTCAGAGTAAGGAAACCAGGTTAATGTTTTCTTTAGAGTTCTAATTAAGTTTGTAAGATGCTACTTTTCAATTTTTATTTTATTCTTCATATAACATTAATGTCAGTCATTATATTATGTTTTATTTTTAGCCATTATTATATCTCCTTTACTGCTAAGAATAAAATGTGGGAAGTGCCCTGTCCAATTTGGCTCAGTGGTCAGAGTATCGGCCGGTGGACTGAAGGATCTTGGGTTCAATTCTCAGTCAAGGGTATGTACATGGGTTGCAGGTTTGATCCCCAAACCCTGTCGGGATTGTGCAGGAGGCAACCAATTGATGTGTCTCTCACACACTGATGTCTCTCTGTCTCTTTCTCTCTCTATCCCCCTCCTTCCCTTCCACTCTACCTAAAAATCAATGGAAAAATATCCTTGGTTGAGGATAAACAACAACAAAAATAAATGTGGAAAGTATCTCAATAAATGTTTTGTGTCTTAGATAGTTTGAGCAGATAGAAGTACACAGCTCATAAACCACTTTTCTCTTAGCTTCTTGCATAGAACTTTTGAGAACATTGTCAACATAATGCTACAATGTATCTTCCAAATCTGCTCTCCTTTCCATCCCTGATGCAGTTCATATGCTCATCCTACAGCTGGATGATTCTGGAGATTTTTTTGTTTGCTTGTTTTTAATCTGGTCTGAAAGTATTTTTTGTAGTTCACCCTCAGATGTCCTTCTGTCAGCTTTAAAAAATCTAATCTCTACCTATCTCTGTCTATCTACCTATACATCTACTGATTGATCCATTGATCTGGATATTACATAACTCCACTACAACCATAAAGAAATGCAGCAATCTATTCTTGCATGTTATGGAAAAAAAGAATAAAGAACTTTAAATTAGGAGACTTAAGAGTCTATCATGGTCACCTTCTTTGTTCTGAGTTACTATTTAGCCTCTCAAAATTCTGTTCCATAATCACATCAATAACCACCTCTGTGCATAAATACTGGAAATAATGCTACAGCTCCCTTGCTAATATATGTCAAAACAACAACTAAATTAGTATTAGTCAAAATGTATGATTTGCTCTTGTTCAAAAAGCCATAAGAATTCACACTATTTTTCATCATCTTTAATACCTTCTAACAGCAAAGTTCAAGGAATAACTCATAAATGCTACAGCAACAATATTTCATGAACAATTACCTCTATGAAACACACATACAAAATCCACTATTTAGCTCCTTCTCTATGATAATTGTTTTGAAAAAGGAAAACTGAGATTTCTACATAGCCTCAAGAAATGTACTGATTTAGAATTCTCAGTAATCATAAATATCACTGGTCAAGATTATTCAGTTACCTGGCAAAGCAAACCCAGACATGTCAGTATCTTCAACCCTCAGATGACAGCATAGCAGTGAACGTATGCCCAAAAACTATTTTAAGTCACAGGACTTTGAAGATCAAATCTCTGCATATATCAGTACATTTTAATATATCATTTTCTGTGAGAAAGAGAAGATATTTTACCTTGAATTAAAGTGATATTTTTCAGTGTCTGAGAATGTTCCCAATCTTTCAGTCTGAGATCATTAGTGATGTTATTCAATAGTTTCACTTCTCCTTTTATTTCCTGTTCCAAATGTGCTTGTTTTTCTTTCATAGACATAATTTCTGCTGATGCATTATATACATGCTCCTCTAATTTACTCATCTCCTGTGAAACAGAAAAAAGCATCCGCAATTTTTGTTACACAATTATTTATAAAATATGTAAGTTTAAGAAACCCTGGAACTCGGGTTTTTTAAAAACACTACTTCTAATATTATAGAAATATTATGAAATAAGAATACAAAAATCAGAGAACAGTTTTAAAACATTAATTCTTTTGTTTTGAAGCATTTTCTCTTTTGACTGAATGGCTAAATATTCATACCCTCTGCTCTGCTCCCCCACCCCATTAGTTGAATATATCTAAGTTATTCTTCTGTTCCCAAATATATAGATGTCAAAATGCTAATGAAATGGTTTTTTAAAACTTGTGATATGTTTTAAATTTATGTGAAGTAAAACTTTTTTATACTGTACTTATAGTACATAGTATTCCAATTCTGTGAATTTGATAGATTTGTATATTAAATTGTTTTACAGCAACAACAAAGTTTAATGCCATATTTCCCAGTGGTAATAAACATTCAGGATAGCTTTTCATAGTCAATACAGTCTCAACTAGCATATTAATAATATCTTAATTTGTATTGTCCCTGTATTTGAGGTTTCATTATTTTGTTTTCAATTTTACATATATATAAATACATATAATCTTGGGAATGAGATCCTATTTGTTTGATCTGGGACATGCTTTTACTTTTTACTCAATAATATATTAAGAATATATTTACCTATTAAAATCCTTAGAGGACACCTTATTTTTAGTAATTTTGTGGAACTATATTGTGTGTATTTTTTATAGTTTATCTGATTCCTATTGATGGAGTTTTGAGCTGCACACATTTTACAACTTTAAATAATGCTATAATGAACACCATTATATATATATATATATATATATATATATATATATATATATATATATATATTTCTATAGGACAGCTTCCTAGAAGTGAATCTGATCAAAGAGAGTAAATTTTAAAATGTCTGTTCAATACTCTCACACTGGCCTCCAAATATATGGTAGCATTTAAAAATCTTGTTAATTGTACATCAGTGCCTACTTTTGGCACACAAATACTAGGTGCCATCAATATATTTAAGTTTGCAGAGTAAGAGTAGACACACAATACATTCTTGTTACTTAATTTGCTTTCCAAACTATAATAAGGTTAAGTTAAATCATAAAAATGTTTGATATTTTTCTTTATTACTTTTCCTTTCAAGTCTTTTGCTTGGTTTTCCTTTGGGTTTACATTTTCCTTGACTGGACTGGGCAAGTTGAGGTGAGAGGGTCAAGGCAGTCAGTGGATTGAGCATCGGCCCATGGAGGTACAAGTCTGATTCCCAGTCAGGGCCCAGGCCCAGGCTGCAGGCTTGATCTCCAGTGGGGGGCATGCAGGAGGCAGCTGACGGGTGTGTCTCTCTCACATTGATGTTTCTATCTCTCTCCCTTCCTCTCTCTTTAAAAATGTATTTTAAACAAAGTTTTTTTAAGGAACATATATCCAGATTTGCCTCTTCAATGGCACTAGACTCAGAGAAGTTTATCATTTCTCACTGCTCTGTGCCTTCCCTCACCCAAACTTTATTCGAGATCAGCACATCTCTAGCCACCCTCTTTCTCCTTCCCTGATTATCTGGCATTTTCTATACAATATGGTAAAAATGAAGAGTGAAATAGATGTTTGTAGAACACATCTATGTGTTACAAAATACAAGTGAAATCTACCTAAACTCAGACAGTTCACTAATCACCATACTTCGATTCTTTTAATTTGATATATTATGATTATTTTTGGTTATCACATTTCCAATTTGGCTTCAACTCCTCATTTATGTGGGTTCATATTCAATAGTCTCTGCTGGATTTAGGTCAATATCAAATATACCCTTGTTCTTCTCTATGGTTTATCTTTGTTCTCTCCTCACCCTTTCTCACTGTTTCTCTGATCCTGTTCCCACACAAAGTACTATTTCTCTTCTTTCCTCTTTCCCTCCAACTTAATCAGGTTCTATTCCAATAACTGATGTTTTATTTTCCTCTGTCTCCCACACTCCTCAACAGTTTCTTCTTTGTGTATTTTCTCTAATCCCTCCATGGTCCGAGTCCTTGATATTCCAATACCATCTGATAGGCTCAGATACTTATTAACAGTGTGGGAAATACTAACTGTCAGATTTTGGAAAATGTGCCATGGAATTCGAACAGAACATCCAGGTGGGTGTTGGAATAAGATTCACTGAGTTCCTAAATCTAAACAGCAATGACATTGTCTTGTGACTACTTAAGATTAGAATCATATAAAAATTCTAAAGTTCTGAGTGATTGCACCTTACAAATGGTAAACATAGAATATTCTTTATTGACCTGTTTCGTCTATTCTTTTCTTTTTTTTAATCCTCACCCGAGGACATTTTTGCTTTTATCTTCAGATAGAGCAGGAGGGAGAGACGGAGAAAGCGAGAGAAACATCAACGTGAGAGAGACACATCCCCAACCGGGGCCCCAACTGGGGCCGGGGACAAACTGCAACCGAGATACATGCCCTCAGCGGGAACCGAACCCAGGACTCTCTGGTCCATGGTCCAGTGCACTAACTGCTGAGCCAAACTGGCCAGGGCTGTTTTTGTCTGTTCTTCAGTTAATCATTTGGTTGGTTTTCATCCGATGTTATAACTTCAGAGGCTTCTCTTTGTTTTCTAATTAATTAATCTCTGCTTTGCTCATTAAGAATGGGTCTAGCAAGTAGAATCTACTACAAAGATGCCAGATTTTTAAGCTAATAATGGAAATATGATAGGCTTCACATTAATTATAATCTTAGGTGTTATATATTTTATAATATGAAGATTAGTTTTTCACAAGTACTAAAATTTTAGTCATGTGTTTATTTTTCATGGAAAATTATAATTACTCAACCAAAAAAAAAAAAAAATACAATTTTGAAATAAGTGACTTGCTTCTCAGTATCTTTTTTATCAATACAAAATGATCCAACTGAATAGTCTAGAGGTAAAAACATTTGACCCCAGGCCAAAGCCTGTTTTTATAAAGGAAGATTTGGTGGATCACAGCTATATTTGCTCATCTATGTAGTTTGTGGCTGCTTTTGCACTACAGTGGGTGGCAGAGTTGAATAGTTACAACAGCGATCATGTGGTCCCAAAGCCAAATAATTCTCTGACCCTTTAAAAAGACATTTTTGCTGACAACTGATCGATCTAGAATATGTCTGGCTCTTTTGTCTTGTGTATTTAATCCTATTATGATATGACATTTAATATAGTATTCAAATTTTAATTTTTAAACTATAGTTAATTTACACATTAAACATTTATACTTTTTGGGAGTGACAAAGTAACTGTTTTAAAATGTAGATTTTTTTTTAGGTTATCCATGTAAGGAATGATGATGAAAAAAAGTTGGGGTCTGTTGTAAAATTTACAGTGTGCCTACTTCTCCCAGATCTGCTAAAATAATTTAAAAATCGTAATTTATTTAGGCAGCCTCAAGAGGTACTATACCAGGTTTTATAATATTGAAATATCTTAAGAGAGGCTATATCCAATGGAAACATATTTTCCTTTTTGCTGGGAATCTGGAAAAGGAACTAAGTAAAATCTATTTGAGACCTTTTGGTAAGATTACCAGAGGAATCAGGGTATGTGGGATGACGTTCGAACAGGGTTGGGAATATTTGCTTTCCTGTTCCCCTGAGGAGATAGACCGACATGAATTCAGTGCCAGCACGTGACCTTCCAGTACAGAAGCTCTTACCTCTTGATGTTTAAATGTATTCTCTTGGACTTTGCCCTTCAGTGTTTCAATACTGAGCTGCAGAGCAAGCAATGTGGTATTCAAACTTATTAATGACTTGGAGATTTCATCTATTTCATTTCTATGTTCCTGAGCTGAAGAAGCCACAGTACTTAGCTGGAGAAGAACATCATTAAATCTTTGATCAGTCAGCACACTGAAATTTTGGAAATGCTCTGAATCTATGAGATTGGCTTGTGTATCTGAAATATACTGGATTCTCTTCTCCAGGTTGCTCAAGTTTTCCGTGACAACTTCTCGGAATTTTATATCATCTTCACAGTGATTTCCTTTTCCCATGAAACTCTGAGGTGTATTATTGGCAGTAATTGAACCAACTGTGAAATTCTTCCTTTCCCATTTTAGGAGTTGAGCTGCATATTTAAGCAAAAATAAGCAGAGTCATGGCCTGTCTCCTTAAATACATATAACATTCCATTCTAACATTTCATTTTGTTTTATTATTTTTTATTTTTCTTAGTAAAATTATTTTTTATTTCTTTCCATATCTAGGGGGAAATTAATACCCTGGGGAAATAATAACGAACTTTGGGCAAAACAAAGTTTTCCTAAGAGTTGGCCATGAAAATGGAAAGTACTCAAAGCAGTCTCATGCACAAGTCCATTCCTTTATAGTACTTACACAATTGTGCTTCTTAAAGATTTTCCATAAACCTTTTTTGATAAAAAGCTTAAAGATAGAAAAGTAAAGAGATAACTGTAGGAGAAAACATATTCCTGTTTGCTTACTTCTTTACTCTCAGCAGATGAGTGGATAAAAAAGCTGCGGTACATTTACACAACAGAATACGACGCAGTTGTGAGAAAGAAGGATCTCTTACCCTTTGAGACAGCATGGAGGGACCTGGAGAGCATTATGCTGAGTGAAATAAGCCAGTCAGAGAAAGACAAATATAATATAATCTCACTTATTTGAGGAATATAATGAACAGAGATATGGAAGTAGGAAACAGACTGACAAACCTCAGAGGGAAGAGGGGTGGGGTGGGGGAGCAGAAAGAGATAAACCAAAGAACTGATATGCACATATGCATAACCAATGGACACAGACAACAGTACAGTGAAGGCGGGGGTGGGGCAGAAGTGGGGAAGAGAGTCAAAGGGGGAAAAAGGGGGGACATATGTAATAAAAATATATAGTATTAAAAATAAATTTAAAAAATTCATAATTTTGTCTGTCATAGTATAGAAGTAAGCAACCATTCTAACATTTTAAATGCTATCCTAAATCAAGCATTTATTTTAAATAAACAATGTATGAACCACAGTAGGCCTATTGCTGACAGAGTGACAGTCTCCTCTTCCCACTTTACTTTAGAACTTATTCCAGGATTAAGCTATTCTTTCTGAAATGTTGCTTATAAGAATCTCTTAGACCAGTACATTTGGCTTCCCCAGTAAGAGAGATGCTCCAGATGATAAAGTGCATTGTGCCCTACTTGGGTCCACCGTTAGGACAAAATGAGATAACAGAGTACATGAAGTTAGCATGTGGAATACGTTAGTTATTATCAAGATAAATGACGATGATGATAATAAAATAAAAGTAGAAGTATGAGTATTATCCACTCTATGAATAAATTGTTGGTTCATCTTCCTCATCCTATATAAGCTGGTAGAGAATTGTCATTTTCAATTTACACAGGCCTAATTTATAGTTGGTGGAGCAGAAAATTGAGCAAATAAAATTCTTAGTTTAAAACACATTATTTTTATGTGATTCCTCTTTGTCTACTAAGAAATATATATTCATAGCAGAAAACTTAGAAAAGATGAATAATAAGGAAAAATAATTACCATTAACCTCTTCATCCCAGGTTAAATGCGAACATTTTGGTGTATGTATATCAAATTTGGCTCTCTGTTTTCACTATCACATTATTATTACAAAAGCAAGATTATATTTTATATACAATCCGAAAGCTACTTTTAAATTAATACTATAATATAAATTATTTTGCATATTACTCAGAATTGTTTTACAAAAATAAGTTTGATAACTTCATTGTATTCTATATATGGACCTACCAGATTTATTTAATAAATCCTCCACAATAATTTGTTTCTGTTCTCAATAATATATTTAATTTTTTTTGATAAACAATCCTGTGAATAATTATTTCCTGAAGAAAAAAATTATATTAAATGGCATTTTGGGAACATACAGAGCTGCTGATACATATTTTCATATAGACATATATTCTCTAAGCAAGCTAATTATCCTTCTGAAAAGATCTGGAGCAATACGTTCATAGTTTCAAAAAAATAAAAAGCATAAACATTAACTTTGCAGATAAAAATAATACATAATTATACCCAATAAAGAAAATGTTATGCACTATTTTATCATTAACCAGTGATGGTTAAGGTTATGTTATCTTTCCATATCTATCTATCTCTATCTATCTATCTCTATCTATCTGTCTATCTATCTATCTATCTATCTATCTATCTATCTATCTATCTCTATCATTTATATCTTTTATCTACATATATGTATCTCTTATTTATATTAGTTTAAATGTCTACAATTTTCCATATTTGACCATTATCAAGCAATATAAAGATAACTTCACATAGTTTAAAAATATACCTATATAATCAGCTATACCTGATCTCTTAGTTTTCTGAGTAAAAATGATATAGCAATAGTATCAGCTTTACAGTTTTCTGTGAATGAAATAACACATGGAACATATTCAGTTCCCATCCTTAGCTCAGGGTACCTGTGATAAAAAGGATATCTTGGTGTTTACACAGGGTCCAGCTGCCTGATTCTGGAGTCCAGCTCTACTTCTCATTACTAGGTTGGTTACTCTGGACAAATTACTTATCCTCTCCTTGCTCAGGTTCCTTCAAAGATCTAGATGTAGGAACTATCTCAACAGTGGTGCTGAGGATGAATGAGCTAAGGCATGCCAATCCTACAGCACACAGATGGCACATAAGAAAACTCTATTCAAATTTAAGTGTTTTCTCCATGAGAGATGTTATCTTAGTTACAGAGAAAACTGATTTCACCACGTTTACTTAAAGAAGCTGTTAGAGATGGTTGCTATTGAAGACATTATTATATTAAGTATTACATTATATATACAATTAAATCTCAATTTAAAAAACATATTATATCATATTTTCCTAGTTACATTCTCTTCAAAATTTATTTCATTGAATTAATAATACAGTTTGACATGATCCACAACCAAGGCATTTTAAGTGTGATTATTTTATACATCTTACTTTATCAATAAATTAAGCAAAAAAGTATATTTTTTAGTGAGATCTTATCACATTTATTAAATTAAGGTAGGAAACAAGTTTTTGGATTGACAGCCTCATTTATGAATTCATCAGTTCGGATTTGTTTATTAAGCACCTACTAAGTATAGAGCACTATTTGAGCAACTCTGGAAATAAGATCGACTGAAATTCAAAGTAGTCCCTTAAAATTTGTCCTTTTATGGTGATTACTGGTTTTTTTAATTAGCAATTAAGAATCCAGGTTCTGGATTAGAACTGCCCAGGTTAGCAATTCTTGTTTTCCTTTGTAAATTGTGACCTTGGGCAAGTCAATCTGTCAAGGCTTCTATTTCACTTCTTTATAAATGGGATTCTAGTAGTCAGTGTTTAAATAATTAAATGAGCTAATGTACATAAACTGTGTAGAATACTTCCTGGAACATAACAAGCATTTGGTAAGTTTCAGCTTTTTTTGTTATTGTTACTAATTTGGATTCACTATCTGTGACTTATGCATCTATATTCATAACAGTATAACTAAGGGCAATTGATACTGTGTAATATAAAACTTGGGGTAAGTTCAGTACTGCGATGAGTACAGTAACCTCTTTTTTATTTTACTAGCCATATGGATCTAATCATTCAACCACATAATTTTACTTATCCTGTAACAATTTCTACTTTGTATGGGTAAATCAAATCTTGTTTACAGTATCAAAGAGAAACCAGATTTAACAAAATGTCATATGACCAAGGATTTTTATTTGACATCAAGTTCAGCTTGAATTGACAATAAAGGTTACATTTTGCTTATAGATTTAAAAAGAAAACAGTGCTTGTTTTCCCAAATTCTGAATGAAAACTAATTTGATCCCTGCTTTCTTTAAAAATGTTTAATTCTGTATCATAAGTCTAGGTAAAGAATACCAGAGTTCCTATTGTCAAATCTTCATTCCTCTTGCTATCATTGGAGAGAAGGCTTTTTTTTTGGTTTTTTTTTTTTTTACTTGTATATTTCACATTTGAAAAGAGACAAGTGTTTATGGCTTGTGCACAGACTTAGTGGGAGAGTCATATTTGATTCCACAGATAACATTTACTCTTTCATGTTGGTAATATCTTCTCCTTCCAGAAATCTGTATTATTTTGAGCTAAAGAATCTTCAGTAGCCCAGCCGGTGTGGCTCAGTGGTTGAGGGTCGACCCGTGCACCAAAAAGGTCACCGGTCCGATTCCTGGTCAGGGTATATGCCCAGGTGGTGGGCCAAATCCCCAGTGAGGGGCATGCAGGAGGTGGCCAATCAATGTTCTTTCTCGTTTATCCATGTTTCTACCTCTCTGTCCCTCTCCCTTCCTCTCTCTTTAAAAATCAATAAAGAAAAAAAAATGTATATCAAAAAAACAAAGATATTCTCTTAAAAAAATCTTCAGTATTTCAGTAACAATTTATGAACATTGGTACTAAATTATATCTTATTGTCCAAAGACATTATTTTGCTGTTATACTATGCCAGTGATTCAGTAGCTTCTTCGAAAAAAGATGACATCTAGAGTAGATTTTAAAATTAAGAAATATCTTTCCATGAATATGACACTTTAGATTTAAGTAGAGTTTTTATGTACAATGTTTTACTTCACCCACCAATTCATATTTGCCAAAACAAAGTGATTACTATCATTTTAGGGGTATATTTGGTCTATAAGTATGCTTTTTTATATCAAGTGGAGATATATGTTACATTTTTGTTTCTTTTTTGGAAAATATTCTGATCTACAACTTAATTAAAGTTGTAAATGGACTGTCAATTGTTCATTATTTAAGTGTGATAGACACAGCAAGATCTATCCCAAATTCTGGCGAACTTGGGTGCTAACATGAACTTATTTGATTTGAATATTTTTTTCTTCTTGTCAATCTTAATAGGTACTATTGTAGTTTTAGAAAGCAAAACCACTTCAGATCAATCATTGTCAACTCTAAAACAAATGTGTTGACTCAATAGTATTTTCTAACGGCCCAGAGATTCTGAACTTAGAACCTTGAATTCTTCATAGACTTCAGTCCACATTCTGCACAGGTCCATTAGAAAGTAGCTGCACTCTTGGGTTGGCTCTGCAGACCATGGATTGTATAGAGGTGATGAAATTTACCCCAGTTATAACTGGTTTATAGCTAGTAATCTCAAATAATAAAAACATCTTTCAGTGATGCTTTTCAAACTACAGATAGGTATGTACCTAAACAACATACAGATAACCTCAGTTCATCAGGGAGTTAGTTTCATGACAGATACATCAGGTTCTTCTGCTTAGATGGCTGTGGTTGGTTTGATTGACTGATTGGTTTAGTTTGTTGGTGATGGTGTTTGTTTTTGTATTTTGTTTATAATGGCCAAAATAGGAGTTGGTGTTTTTACCTGTGGAAAATATTTTGCTGGCTAAAATTACAGCAACTGTTTTGTTTTTTCATTGGTCAACCACATTTTGTTCTAAAAACCCAAATGCACAGGAAGATAGACCATAGAAATCAGGAGTCAAGTGTTGTGGGAGGAAACTCCAGCTCCACTACTGAACAGTCTCAAGGTCCTTTTGTGGATAACGAGGATGAGTCTGCTCGGGAGTAAATGGAAAGGTGTATGTAGATAATCCATAGAAAATGTATAGCCCAGTGCCTGAACATAGTAAGTGCTCAAAAATGACAGCTACTATTACAATTGTTGTTGTCATTTTATTATAGTTTCTTTCTTGGCATAATTTTGGCTCTGTTGTAGAATATTCTCTTAGAAGACCTCTTAGTAGAGAAGGTTTGGCCTTGTGTTTCGGAGCATTTTCTTGTTAAGCTGGTTAGTATGCATGCAAAAAATGTATCTTATTCCCAGCCTATCTTTTATTACACCGTATGTCCAGACATTTTGCCAGTCATAGAGAAAGGAGACCTACAAGACATATAAACTCGAATGCCAATCAAATACATCAAAAATGCTACTGAGGGGATTAATACTTACAGATTTCACTGAGTTATATGCAAGCCATCCCTGTAGAAACCCTCAGATCTATCCCCAATTCAAAGTCAGACTCTCCAAAGAAATACATACCTGGAAAACATTATGGTGAGCCCGAGAAAAGTGTTCTAATTTTTAGAGATGTTTTAGATATAAGCTGTAAAGATATTACTGAAGTGTAGGCCATTATTTCCTTTTTGAAGACTTACAGAATATTTTTTTGCTCTCAATACTGGGAGTAGAAGAACTTTACCGGAAAACTGTGTTGTTTATATATATTAGGCGTTATTAATATAAATGATCATGTTTATATTTTCACATTGGCAACTAGCATACTTACCATGAAATCTGTGACCCACTACTAGATGTCTATAGGACTTCAGAGGATAATATATTTTTGAAATGGGCTAATGTTTTCCATAGCTGTATTTTTATCTTAATATTTTATTTTATATTCTATTTCATATATTTGATGCTTTCACTTAATAATTTTGAAGAATCTATTTTGTCATTTAATAAATTTAAGAAACACTTGGTGGTATGAAGTTTACCTTATGAATCTCCCATACACAAAAGACTGAATACTTCTTTTTGCTTCTACAGTGACTAATTCACATGCTGAGCTCCTGGGTTTCAGAATTCTGGAATACTGTACCTGCCACTATTCCAATGATAGGTATGAGAATTATAAACACAAGGAGATACAGGGCGATCAGTGCAGCTTTGAGGGACTTCAGTTTATCTTGAAGGGCAGGGCCATTTTTAGGATCTGAAAAACAAAAGCCCGAACTACTGTTAGAAAACTTAATCTTTTTACTTAATTAATTTTTCAAAATTATATTGTTACTACCAAGCCTATTGAACTAAAAAGGGAAACAAATAGGTTCTTGTTTATTCAGTAGGAAGCAAAAAGGACAATCACAGACTACGCCAATATAGGCATCACTAGGGACATTTGACTTACTTCTCCATTAACTAAGCATCCGTGAAAAAGTGATTACCCTCTACAGGTTGTACTTGTCTCATCTAAGGAAAAAGACAAAGAACAACCCACAATACAGCAAAATGGGACATTCCATCTGCCAAACCGACTAAGCCTGAAACCCAGGAGTCACTTCTCCTTTATCTCCTTTATCTCCAATCTCCAATCACAAATTATTTGTATACTGCCTTTTCTAAACTCTCAAAGGTGTTTTTTTGTTTGTTTGTTTGTTTTTGCCATGTCTCTGTTCTCAATGACTCTTTTCTCCTACCTCAATCTCTCAGCATCTCCACCTCTAAAAGCTTTACTGTTACCTTTTTTCCTTGTCTCGTTGTGCCACGGCCTCCCATCTATTGCTAGCACAGCACAAGAGATCCAGCCTGTCTATATTTCAGGTTTTTCTATGTAAGAATTCATTTAAGATCCTATAACTCTGTATTTGCTGCTTCCTCTGACTGAAATGTCTCTATGGCTCCTTCCCCACACACCTCATCCCCTGTAAAATGTACTTAAGGCTTAGAAGAATTAAAGCACCTCTGTTTTCACAACTTAAATGAACCTATCCAGATACTGTCAAATACTACTAGTTCCGAGGTCTTGTGTTAACCTGTACAAACATCTGTTTCAGGTTGTTATGTATTGAATTGTGTTTCTCCAAAAGATGTTATTGAAAATTTAACACTGGGTATGTGTGAATGTGAATTTATTTGGAAATAGGGTCTTTGTAGATTAAAGGATTAAAATGAGGTCATCCTGGACTAGAGTGGGGTCCTAATCCAATGACTGATGTTCTTGGGCCAAGAGGACATGGAGACACCAGCAGAGAAGACCCTGTAAAGACCGAGGCACAGGCTGGAGTGATGCAGTTACAAAGGGGAGGGGATGAAGAGTACCAGGAGCCCCTAGAAGCTAGAGATTGGCAAGAAAGGATTCTTAATCTAGAGCCTTCAAGGGCAGTATGGCCTTGCTGATACCTTGACTTAGACTCCTGGCCTTTTGGAGATGTGATGGAGTAGCCCTGGCCAGTTTGGCTCAGCAGTTTAGAGTGTCGGTCTGTAGACTGAAGCATCTTGGGTTCGATCCCCAGTCAAGGGCACGTACCTGAGTTGCAGGTTTCTCCCCCAGCCCCAGTTGGAGTCGTGTCGTGTGGGAGGCAACCAATCGATGTGTCTCTCTCATATCAATATCTCTCTCTCTTTCTCTTTCTCTCTCCATCCCACCCTCCCTCCCTTCCACTCTATCTAAAAATCAATGGAAAAATATCCTCAGGTGAGGATTAACTACAACAACAACAAAAATGTGAGAGAATAAATGCCTGTATACCCATTGTTTTAAGCCACCCACTTTGTGGTAATTCGTTTCAGCAGCCACAGGAATCTAATACAAGTACCTACCACCCATGATTTTCAAATATTGATTCATGTGTTGGATTCACAATCATCTCTGGGCCCTAGTCCAGGGGCTGGGAAATCAGAGAACTCAGTGAATATGTGGATTCATTTAATCTATTATAATGTTTCTTAACTTCAACTTAAGTGTATTTTGTATTTTCTCTCAAGAGAGGAAAAGACCTATTTATCCAGTAGGAATTATTTTAACATTCGTACACATTTAAGGTAAGTCTCAAGACTGTAATTTTACATAGGATCAGTAACCCTAAGGGCAGTCTCCCTGGGCATCCCATCCTTCCTCTACTTACTCAGAGGTAACAAAGCTGTCATTGATCGAGCATCAAACTTCACAGATTCTGAACAGCTATTGGCGTCGTCCTGATGATCGGGAAAGCTATCCCACTGCTCCATACTTCTATTAAACACCTGAGAAAATATATTAATTACATATAAAGTGGCTAGCACCCTTGGGCATGATGTTTCCAACTGAATTTTATAATTAAAATCCAATTTTAGCAAGGAAACATAATTAATTAACCAAATTTACATTTCTACTATATATATATATTAATATATGATGCCTACCCATAAATATCAATTGTAACAGTAAAAGACAGACTTACATAGAACCTACCCATGTGTCTTTCTATGTACAAATGTGTATCTGTGTTTGTAGGTGTGTATTTTTTTAGAGTGAGAGGTAGCTTTTCTTTTATAGCTAAAAAAGATGTTTCCACATGACAGAAAACAACTGTTTAGCTGAAAAGAAAAAATGATTTCCCTTAGAACAAATAGTTGTACAAAACTGGAAGGAAATATTTCCTGTGATCTTTTATCAGAGTTTCATGAGCCAGATTTTCTTTTTCCAAGGCACTTGTTTATCACTTTGGAAAGATAAAATCTATTCACTAGATTAAGAATCACAGGGAAAACTTAGTTGTTGTTTTTTTTTTCTTTTCTTATTTGTGCTTATTTATTTGTTTCTCAGGACTCCTCTGTATACATTGGCAGCATCACAAATATGTCTTTATACCTTTTTAAGCACAATCCGTATTCTATGATACAATCTATGCCTATGTGTCTTTAAGATAGTTCAGAATCAAGTGAAAGGCTCAATTAAAAACATGTTGATGGACCTCACCTTCACTTTCCTATGTTTAGGGGAGTTAAGAATTTGCTGTGGTACATATGCACAATGGAATACTATGCAGCTGTAAGAAAGATTTCTTATCCTCTGAAATTACATGAAGGGACCTGGAGAATATTATGCTAAGCAAAATAAGCCAATCAGAGAAAGACAAATATTACATAATCTCACTTATTTGTGGACTATAATGAACAAAACAAGCTGATGAACAAAATAGACCCAGAAACTGACAAACCTCAGAAGAGGGGGTGGGGTGGGTCGGGAAGAGATAAACCACAGAATTTATATGCATATATGTGTAACCATGGACATAGACAACAAGGCTGGGGGGGAGGGGTGACAATGGGGAGGAGGGTGTTAATGGGGGAAAAAGGAGAAATATCCATAACAAAAATAAATGTAAATAGAATTTGCAATTTCAACAAGCTCTCTAGTAATACTGCAGCTTGCATGCCAGAGACCACATTTTAAAAACATTTTCCATGAAAATAAATTATACGACTTTTTCTTGGAAACAGTTCATTTGATTGATAAATTTAGAATAAAACCAACATCACTGATCATTTCTTATTTTCTTTAATGCTCAGTTATGGATTTGGCACAGTCAAAGTTTAATTGAGCACACTAGCAGCTCCAGGACACCAAATGCATATCCTCATCCAGGAAATAAAGGACAGTCATTCACATGCAAACATTCATACTGCTTTGGGGAGAGATACAGGCAAGTAAAGATGTGACTCAATGCCTCTTAATATATTTTTTAAAATAGTACCAAAGAGACTCTTTATATTGCAAATTGCAATAACAATCTTTGTTCATGCATCATTCTGTGAGTTGGTTTTAGTTTCCCTAAATCCTGTTGATCTGACCAAAAAGTGTGTTCTTAAATGATTTGGCCACTGTGGAGGAAGGGAGTGGAGGGGAAGGCAGAGGACCTACGTCTTCTTTTCTTAGGCAGAGGCAAAATGAAAGAAAGAATTATCAGGGAAAATTGATCATTATAGGAAGTCAACTTGGACAATTCAGATCCAGACTCCCCTACCATTTACCCCTTTTTAATTCACTCTGTCATTTGAACTACATGACAATTTCATTTGCCAAGCAAAACAAATGAACAAACAAATAATTTTAAAAACCAAGGCAACAATAAAGCTTAGCTAAATTATTTTTTTAAATTATGGCTCAAAACAGTGGGGGACTATGTGTCAGAGCTTTTGAACTTTAAACTTAGTTTATAGAAGATGGGCTCACGAAGTATGCATTGAGATACACCTGCGGTGTAACTGGGAATCTCTTTTCGGACTGCTGACTGGTCCTCCTCAATGTGTTTGGCTCTGGCTTTGGTTTTGATATTTGAGTTATTATGACTCCATTCTAACTTAAATACAAAGTAAACATCTCATATTACTCAATCTTCTAGATGGGAATATTTTTGTAAAAAACGATGAAATCTTTTGAATCTGATAAATCTCTCCAGACTCTGAGGAACGTAAGAGGAGAAAGCATGTCTTATTGTGTTAAATACGTATTACCAGAGCCTAAAGCAACCTGGAATATAAAATATACTTAATAAATACTTGTTGAATGAATGATCTGATTTCTGTTTTGTCAGGTATTGGTCTCATATATTAGTGTTTTTTTTCTCTTTCTTTTTTAAACAAAATGGATATTTGGAGACAGGGGAACCAAAAAGGTGTGCTTCTTCTCATAGAAAATTTCTTGGTAAACAGGTTTTGTCCTTAATTCAGATTTTTTTTCCTATTCTACATTGTTATTCTGTTCATAGCCTTCTTGAGCATGAACCCATTTTTAAGGCTGGGTTACTGTGTTACATTCTTGACACACTGCCACTGACTCGAGCCTGTTCCTAATCTGCATTATTTTCCTGTCGTCAGGTCCAATTGGCAACTAGCTATGGCCATATCTCACTGTAGCTCTCAAGAGAAGATTGCTAGCATTTCGATTGGGACAATTCTTTTTTTGCGAAAGATTGTCTTAGTTGTATAGGATGTTTATTGCCCCTGGTTGCCACTCACTAACTGTCAATAATGTTTCCTAATCATTATATCTCTACTTCCTCCCTCCAAAACATCCAAACTTTATCCCCACACATTTCCAAACACCCATTCCTTTTTGAGGCCCATTCTTCAATATGTATCCCCAATGTGGATACAAAGTTAGGAACTTTCTCTCTTTCTCTCTCTGTAGTATTTGCCTTGAGCAATTAAACTGTTGACATGGAAAATGAATATTTTCCGTAAGCTTCAGCAATAATGCAGATTCCTCAACTTGTTGTTTGGGGATATTTCTCAAAGCACTCCGTGTATGTTTAGCCCTTTAAATAAATAAACATTATAGACCTTTGTTAAAGCTTATATGATTGTTTCTTACAGAAAACTGAAATATTTTATTAGTTTAGAGAGAAAAAAAGTACCAAATCCAGAATGATAATACAATGATCTAAGCTTGGCCTCAATAAATCAAATGAATAAGTGAATATTATTTTTATCCATATACTTGTTCAGAAGCTCCACATGTGCCTTTCAATAAAGTTGTAATTTAGAACCCACGGGGCCTCCTTGGCTTAAAGGACTTTTCTTGGGAGAAAGAAAGAATTCCACCTTCTTCCTCCTCCTCTTCTTCTTCTTCTGCTTCTGCTCTTCTTCTTCTTTTATTTTAAGATAACTTTAGAATACTAGATGCCACATCATGAAAAAAATAAAAGATGGCAAGTATTGGGATATTTTTCAATCAATGACTTTAAGATGGAAATACCTATTCCTTCATGTAGGCCAGTCCAACGATGCCAAGAGCAATGTATATAGAATATTTTTAAGGACCAAAGATGATATTACGCACTAATATAAGAGACTAAACTATATAAATGATCACCAGACAGCCATATATGTGTGTGTGTGTGTGTGTGTGTGTGTGTGTGTGTATAAAATCTCCGGCTCTGATCCTATTTTTGATCCAGCTCAGAATCTTTTTTTATTTTTTTTAATAATACAACTAGCTACAATGGGGTATTTTCCACATCAACCAAATTTTTCTTTTTTCCAGGTGTTTTGGTGTTGGCATATCATCTATTGATATCATCTGATTATTATCATGGTTTACTTCTATTTTTTTGTGCAGTGAAGAAAATATATACTGTCAGCTATAAAGGTACACAGAGGTGCTAGCAAAGCACAGTCTGTCCCTGGAGGCAGGGCTGTACTCGAGCTCACTCTGCCCACTACACCCACACCTGACTGCACAGCCACCCCGGCGTCCCCAGAGCCATTCCTGCCCCTCTAGTCCAACCTTCTCATTTCAGCCCATTCTTCTCTAACCCAGCCAGGCACCGTGGGTGACAGCAGTGGAGTGGGCAATTAAAGGGTAGCATCCAGGAGATATTAAAAAAGAGAAGGATATGAAAAGAATTGATGAACAAGCATAAAAATATAACACTTTAACAACAACTAGGAGGGAAAAGTCAAACAGAAAATATTTTTCAGGGAGAAATATGGAGAACATTAACTTGAGAACAAACATATTTAATGGGCAAGTAAAGGAAGAAGCATCAGTATTCAAGGTAAGGAAGAACTTCTGATGTTATGGTGGAACAAGTCAGGGTCATGGAATAGGAGAAAGAACTCCGAGGCATGCAAGGACATCCATAACCTGCCACGTGGAATTTTAGCTATTTTGCTTGTATTGTAGCGAGAGAAGCCGATTCTTGAGAGATCAAGCAGCAGCAAATGTATAAAAATAAAATAAAATAAGCCTTGAGTGTATACCAGAACTACGGTCATGCTTATGTTTTTCCTATTGAAAATACTGAAGATTACACTAAGACAGTACATTGAGGGAAGTTTTATTTTTCTCTGCTTATTTCTCCTCATCTCCCAGCTACTGAACACTGGGTTATACCTAGTCTCAGTTCTTGTCCTCTTTCTAGTATTATTCATTCCCTTGGTGCTCTCACTAGCCTTGTTGCTTTAAATACAACCATAAGACTGGTTGATGACTCTTACACAGATGCCTGTTGCCCAGACCTCTCTTCTTAACTCCAGACCTGTATGTGCAACAGCCTAAAAACATCACTACTTGGATTTCTTCATGGCCCAGACTTGGGGGTCTTCCGTGTCTCCTATTCCACAGCCAGTCTATTGTCACTTCTCCTGCTGCTGTCCTGGCTGGAGCCCCACCATCTTTCTCAACTGGTCTCTCAGCTTCACTCTTACTCTTGCCATTTCATTTACGTATTTATTCTCCCCACTACCTCTCGCATGTTCTTCTCACAAATCAAGTCTGGTCATGTCACCCCACTGCTCAAAACCTGGAAACACTGTCCCATCTCACACAGATCCTGATGCAAACCTCATTCTCTTAGACATTTCTGGGGCCTCAGACATAAAATTACAACATACCTCTTTCACTTCCTCAAGCCTTTCCTGGCTTAATTTTTTTTCCCCAAAAAACTTACCACTATCTAACTTGAAATACTGTTTTCTTATTCATTATGTCTATTGTCAGTCTCCTTTCACCCAAGTTAGATCCATGATTCAGAAGTTTTTATCTCTTTGGTTAATGACTAGAAAGTTCCTGGCATTTGGTAGGTTCCCACTGCATACATAAATACATTATAAGAAATTTCATAAATAAATATTTTTTGCAAGATGACGATGTTTCATATATGGGGTTATGCATCAAGAAAAGTTTGATTTCACTAATGTGAAAAATTTTAAAGTTCTTTTATACATTGGAAAATAAAAGGGATTTCTCTGAATTTGTGTGTAAACAGGAAACTGAAAAAAAGAAATTTCACCCTCAAAGTTCCCACTTGCCTCAAATGCATTCATCAGACTTACTAGATTACTTCAGCTCTTTACTTGCATTATTATTGTCATTTTAAAATAATTTTAAAGAACATACACATATGAAGTTTTATTAGCAGTCAGGGAACAATTTACACAGTTCAAATGTGCCTTTAAATGTCATTCCCAAGGTTAAAAGAAAAAATAACCACATAAAGTTATAGAGTAGGGGGGTGGGGTGGGAGAGAAGACGAACCAAAGAACTTATATGCATCAATACTAGGGGTGTGGGGGCAGGGTGGGGAGGAGGGGGTCTAGGGAGAAAAAAGGAGAAACATCTGTAACAAAAATAAATGAATAAAAATTAGAGTAAAGAAGAAGAAGAAGAAGAAGAAGAAGAAGAAGAAGAAGAAGAAGAAGAAGAAGAAGAAGAAGAAGAAGAACAAGAAGAAGAAGAACAAGAAGAAGAAGAAGAAGAAGAAGAAGAAGAAGAAGAAGAAGAAGAAGAAGAAGAAGGTAAAAAAATTTACAATTCCAACCAAATGTCAATGTACTGACAAAAGACTGTAAAATCTTCTGCGTTTGTGTAATCTATTATAAGCATGTTATCATGAGAAGTGAAACACATCTTTGCAATATCAGCTTTTAATAAAGTGGGTGAAAATTTACAGAAGCCAAAACAGGAAAATCATGAAAGAATTTCAATGTTAACTTGTTGGGAAGCATATCTTTTATGTTTTTCCTGTTTTGTTTCTTTTTGTTATAAAAAGATTATAATAATATTGGAAAAAACTGGGGGAAAGTTTCTATCATCCTTTGCCCTAGTAGAAGAAAAAAATACTTTCATATGAAATTTGAGTCTTTGGACCTACATATCCATGTTACTTAGTTGATTCATAGTGACATAATCATTAGGTCTTACATCTTTCTCTTAAAATCATATCAGTATTTTAAACTTCATATTATTTTTTAATTTAAACTTATAGGCCATATAATAACTCATCAGATATATGAATCTTATTCATGTAGCCACTTTTCTATACTGTAATTTAAAACAAATTTTCCCCTCTTCTTTGGAGGATAACATTTACCAACATAGATAATGTAAATATTTTATAATTTATCTGTCTTTTTTTGAAATGTTACTTTAGGATAATTGACCATATGTTGAACTATCAGTTAGCAGAAAAACTATTTTAAACTTCTTGGTATCTACTGCCTAACTGCTCTTTATAAACATCATACAAATTTATAAGGATTACAGTCAAATATGATTATTGCAGTTTTAAACCAAATTCACCACTACTTAGTAATGACATTTATTTTAAAATCATTTTGATTTTGATAAAAGTTAATACCTCAAGGTGGCTTTTACTTACATTTTTGTTATTAGTCTGGAAGAGATATTACCATGCAATTATTTGTTTTTCTTCCTGGGTTTTATTTATTCATATAAATTGCTTATACTCCCCCAGGGATCTTTATACAGATATGAATGAACTCTTTATATGCATTTTCTGTTTTATGCAATCTTCATTCTAAGACTTTCCCTATTCAGATTCGTCATCAAACTCTTAAGGTTCACATTATTCTTAAGATTTGGGATAAATAATAATGTTGTAACTTTTATTGAAAGAAAAATTTTGTTTTTACATGAACAGTTAAGAACATGTGTATGAAATGAAAAGAATTAACATATTTGTGAAACCAATAGCTCTTCACTTAAGAAATGTGTCCATAGCCCTGGCCAGTTTGGCTCAGCGGTTGAGCCTCAGCCTGCGGATCAGAGAGTCCTGGGTTCGGTTCCTGCTAGGGGACATACCACAAGAAAAAAGAAATGTGTCCATAAAAGGGCTTAAGGTAAAAAATGGAAACAACTTTATCGTGCCTGGTGCTACCAATGCTCATTCTTGGTGGTGAAGGAGAAAGAACACCAATTTTTGAATCTGAAGTCTAGGTTTCAATATTGGTTGTGCCATTTTGGAACTATGTGACCTCTGACAAATATTTTACTTTATTTGATTGTAGTTTTTATATATGTAAAATATGATTACAATTTCAACTTAAAGAATTATATGAGGATTTAAAATAATTTTTGTAAATTGTCTGGTGCACACAGACAGCCATCAAAAAATGCATCATCTTTATTTTAAAATACCAATTCCTTTTTATCTGAACTTTTCCTATTTTATACAGCAGTATTGTCACCATTTTACAAGTATAGAAAACCAAGACCTAAAAGGTTTAAATAACTAGTTAGTGTTATAGACCGAAGGAGTGGGGAAGCTTGGATATGTATGTACTTCCAGAAAATCAGCTTCTAGCTATTGCATAAAACATTTATAATCTCAGTTCTATAACTTTTTTTTTTGCTATTCTCACATGGCCCATGAGGATGCTAACCCCCATTTAATCCTGTATAAATCTTACCCATTCTTTTTTTTTTTTTTTTTTTTTGTATGTGCCCCTCGCGAGAACCAAATCTGGAACTCTCTGGTACGCTGGCTGACACTCCAACTGCTGAGCCAAACTGGCCAGGGCTAAATCTTACCCATTCTTTAAGATGAGTCTAAAATTCTAACAAATCCATGAAGACTTATTTTTATTTCTTTTTAAGCCTTTTTTAAAAAAAATCTTCACCCAAGGACATTCCTCCATTTTTTTGTTTAGATAAAGTAGTAGGGAGAGAGAGGAAGAGAGAGAGAGAGAGAAACACCAATGTGAAAGGGACACATCGAGTGGCCGCCACCCGCATGACCCAACCAGGGCCGGGGACAAACTGCAACAGAGGCACATGCCTCCAGCGGGAACCAAACCCCGGTCTCTCAGGACCTCAGGCTGACGCTCTAACCGCTGAGCCAAACTGGCCAGGGCCATAAAGATTTTTTTTAATAGTCCTTTCTCTCTTTGAGGTCATTCTGGCTCCCATATTCCCATAGTAGTTAGCTGCACACTTTCACACTAGTTAATGTACTCAAATTACATGTTCATATATTATATTATATTATATTATATTATATTATATTCGTACATCATATTAAGGTGCTCAAGTTATATATTTGCATTAAATCATGAGTTTCCTGAAGGCAATAACTGTATTTTATATTTTGACTGTATATTTCTCTACATCTAGTCCAGTGAAGTGCATGTATAGATGCACAACCAATAGTTCCTATATGAGCAAGTAAAGGTAATAAAAGGTATTAAATTAAAGCCAAAAGTATAATGTGAAAATTAAGGAAATGTAACTAATTAAAATGTTTAATTATATTTTTAATAAAGTGAATACTTTTCAACAAAACATGCAGTTATATGCTAAAAAAATTCTTACCAGTTTAACCTGCAAAGTGTTTAGTATATTTCATATGTATCTATGTACACACATATATTTTTCATTCATGGAAAACCTAGCAAAATTTTCTATGTTTTATCATTGAAATAAGGAAATCAAATTATTAGTGACAGGATGAAGAAATTCTACCAGAACTTATTGATTTCATGTATATACACCTACACACACACACACACACACACACACACACAGTCAATACATATAATTAATAGAAGCAATTTTGGAAAAACAGTAAAATAAACTTACTTCACCTTTTGTCCTAAAGAGAGCTGAACTGATTTATCCACTTCCCCCTCCTTACAATTGAAATGTAACATCTCTATCACATAGTATTTCAGCATCTGATACATGAAGAAAGGAAATGACACACTGAGTGTTGAAAATCTTTCTTAACGATGCATTTCAATAGTACTCTCACCAAAGCACAAGTTTGCAAAATCTAAATTTGTCTTCCCATCTAGGACATTACAAAAGAAAGAGAAGTGAGATGAAAAAGAAACAAGGATTATTATAACAGGGTACAAAACACATGACAGATGAATTCTTCCTTTTTACAGCACGTACGCCGTTTATAAGTTCCTATCATCTATTGTCTTCTATTAACCTTATTATCTTCTATTGATTCTCATTATATCCTTTTCACACTATGTACATTTGAGGGGAAAATTCCATGTTTAAGTGATTTGTTTTTCTTAATCCTTTTTCGTATATCCCTTATCTCTCTCTTCAAATACAAAGCACATGAGGAAAGGATACAGATACTTACTAAGTAAAAGTAATAACTTAGTAATGCTCACTGAATGTCTATCTATACTGGTGTTTGCACTATCTGCAGATCTCTTTTGAGCACCTAACCCAGTGGTTCTCAACCTGTGGGTTGTGACCCCTTTGAGGGTCCAAAGACCCTTTCACAGGGGTTGCCTAAGACCATCAGGAAATACATACCATTAGGAAGGTTGAGAACCACTAACCGATTATGTATTCCCCCCGAAGCAGAGTGGAGGAAAGGGTCTCAGGCATGGAGTCAGAGGCAAGAAATGTTCTTTACTTTCTACTACCCTGTCAGAGTTTACACTTTTCATCTCATTTGTTTGATCACATTCAACAAGGTCCAGTGTGACAAACATAAAAAGCATTACATTAATGAGCTATTTTTTAGATCCAAGTCTTCTGGGAGAAAGTGTTTAGTTTATATTCCATAGGCACTTCTTGGTGTTCTAAATAGGGAGAGATCATATTTTCTACCATAAATTGTAAAATAATTTTTTCATGCCCTTGAGCACCAACAGAACACTCTCTCTCCGAAGACAATTTGCCTGGAAGGAAGAACGCAGAATAGTGCACTGTGTTTAAGACAGAAAGTAACAGCATCACGCAGCTACTCCTTTACTTTTTTTTTTTTAGAGTAGAGAATATTTTAATTGCTTACTTTTTTTTATTGAATTTATTGGGGTGACACTGGTTCACAAAACCATATAGGTTTCCAGTCTACAACTCAATAAAACATCATCTGCACACAGCATCTTGCACCCATTGCCCCAAGCAAAGTCTCCTTCTGTCCCCGTTTCCCCCTCCTTGCTCACCTCAGCCTACCTTGCACCCCACTTTGTCTCTGGTGATCATCAAACGGGTGTTGTGTAGATACGTTTTTTTGCTTAATCCCTTCACCTTCTTTCCTCCAGCCTCCAAACCTCCTTCCCCGTTCCATGTAGCCATGCCTCTGTTTCTATTTTTTTTTTTTTTCAAATCCACGTGGCATTTTAATGGTAGATTCTTTTAAAAAATACTTGCTGAATTCCCATGAAATACAAGGTAAGTTTGTCTCTGGTTTCTCATTTATTTTTACAACAATTTTTTGATATAGGAACTACTGGAGTCCTCACTGTTTTAATGAGGAAACTAAGGCTCAGAGGTGAAATGGTTTGCCCTTGTGAACTGTTGGGCCAGAATTCAAATCCAAACATTTGACTTCAAGTCCCATACCTTTTCTTCTTCTCCTTTTTAAAATTAAATTTATTCTTCTCCTTTTTTAAATTAAATTTATTGGGTTGACATTGGTTAATAATATTATATAGGTTTCAAGTGAAAGGCTAATAGTAATAGTAACAGGGACACGAGTAAGCAGCTAGTTCTAGCCAGGTAGCCTTAGACAGGAAGTAGGGCCACTGAGGCCGATTGAGGCTGACCTGCAGGCAGGCTGGTAGGCTATTCCCTAACCACACCAACTTTATCACCAAATTCTTACTGAAGAGGAGCTTAGACTAACATCGGAACTCACTCTATTGCCTTTATAATTGTTTGAATATAAGTCTTATTTTATATATACATCTTATAAAATATGGTCCTTTTGGGGTCTTTAAAAATATCTGCAATTTAAAAAACCTTCAGTTTGAATACCCTTGATAACATTATATGATTAAAAATGTCAGACTAGGAATAATAAGCTAAGACACCAACTTTCCAAAATTCTAGCCTAAAGTGGTTTATTTCTGTCAGAGTAGGTTATCTTTCTAGCATGTCTATGTAATATTCTTATGTATATATCTTTACTTTCACAATGCTAATCACTTCTGTTTTAGCAGAATTGGTTAGTAATGCTAAGAATGTAGATTACTTCCACATTCTTAAAAAATGTAATTATGTATTTAAAAAGCCCTCTGTCTCTCTTTGTGTGTGTGTATCAATAATATATAATGTATTTATATTACATGATAGTATCTATTTGATCTTACTATATAAGATGCCTTACAAAAGAAACAGGTAGAAAATATATTTAAGTCAAATTAATGATTGAAAGAAAAGAGGGAATGTCTAAAGAGTTGGGAGTTTATATGCATTTTTTCATTTGCTTTCACAATTTTGCCAGGTCATTTTCCTAATTAAGAAATTGAGGCTGAGATATTAAGCAAACTTGTCAAGAATAGAGTTATGAGTCAGTGGATCTGGTATTCAAATCCAGTCATATGATTTCAAATCTTGGCAAAATATACATTTTTCTCAATATAAGACCAGTGTATGCATTATCAGGGCTCTCTCTCAGAAATGCTATATTGAAAATAAACTACAAACATGGGCACATTCCAGATCATCATGTTAGTGGCTTTACAACCAGTCACTGCCATAGGATTCCAATGACTTCGTTTTTGTTGCCTAGGGACGAATGAGTCTAGAGTGAAGGCTATATAACATAATTCCCAGTGTTCAAATAAAGTTTTACAATCAAATAGAGAAATTAATTGAAAGAACTGATTTGCATCTCATAGGACTCATTGTGGTAAATGCATGCATGTTGAACTCAACAAAGATATAGTTTACACTCATTAGGAGATACTTTTGTATGCCTAAAATTGTAACAAATCATTAATTATAAGGTATATGGTACCACATATTTATGTAATAAACTTGCAAATATAATATTTTTTCATAAAAGCAAAGCAATAGTCATATAAACAGTTTAACTATATTACAATAAATACATCTCTGTAAATATAAAACACTTATATAACTATCAAAACATACCACATCAAAATTGATATTGCAAAATTGCATCCTAGCAGAGCTTTTGTTTGATGATCCTAAATGGAAAAAGAGAAAAATCTTGATGTTATCAGTAACATTTTATATGACTTTATGTGAAAAGAAGTTTCCTACACAAGTATTATTGAAATTAAAATACAGAAACAGACTAAGTAGAGTATCAGAACTAAGCAATATCTTTTTCTAAGACTATCAAAAATGTTTTGGTTCACTCACAAAATCTTAAATTGATATTAAGCTTTAGTATTGTTGTAGGATTTTAAAATTTACTTTACACATCCATTAAACTTCAAAAGTTGGTTTAAAACTATAGACCTGTGAAATTTAGATCTAAATTTATGTTTCTATGTCTTAATATAAAATTATAATAAGCCTGGGTATGGCTCCGTGGTTGAGCATTGACTCATGCACCAAGAGGTCGCCATTCTGGGAGGAGTCCCTCTGCTGGAGGGCAGCTCCCGCCTTGGGGGTCGTGGACGGGGGGGTGGAGAACAGAGGTGCACACGTCCGTCGTTCCGTAGATGTTGGGGTGCCACGTCTGGGTCTGGCAAGATGTTGGGATGCCACATCTGGGTCTGGCACCAAAAACCTGGCGGGGAGTAAATGTGGTCAATAGGGAACTTGAAGTAACCGCCCTGTAGTAGGTGTTGGGGGGCCCGAAAACGGCCACCTCCCAGTTGTACAGGTCGCCCTTGTCCACCAGGGTCACTGGAAGCCCTCTACTGGCTTCTCCTGCAGCCTCCTGAGCTCAGCAACAGCACCTCTGCGAGCGGGAACCAGAGGCCGGACACGGTGGGGGCGCGCGGAGGGGCCGGCGGGGGGCCCACGGGAGACGGGGTGCTGGGGTGGGACCCGCAGCCACGTCCCCTGGGCCCCGAGCGCTCCGCTGGCTCTGCTGTCGCAGCCTGCCCAGTGCTCCCTCCATCTGGTTTTCAACGCAAAATTACAAGGTTAAATGGCAGGAAAGTGGATTCCAGGCCCTGAAGTCACGCTCCTGGGAAAGTGCACGGTGTAGAGCACATCCTGCTCAAAATACTAGCGACAGTTTCCTTGCAAACTCACCTGCCTCCCCAAAGCCACACTAACAATGCACCCTTTCCTTGTGATTCCCATCTTAATAAAAAACCATAAAAATACCAGTTAAGGAAAACAGTGAATGTGAGCTCATTTTTAAGGGATACTTAAAAAAACATGAATGCACACTGCACTAGGTTTAGGGAAGTGCGGCTTCAGAATTAAAGTGACAAACCTATGTAGTTTAAACAAGCTTAAAAGTGATAAAGGTTTTCATTAATTTAAGTCTGCGCAAAATTCATTAAGCAAATTTCCATTCAGAAGTTTCCTGGAATGATTATGGGATGTCAGCCTAGGAGCTCAGGAAGAGAACAGGATTTATAGCCAAGGGAATTGTAGCAACGTGGATTATCATTTACTTGATAGCAAGTTCACCTGCCCCCCACCCTTTTCTTCTTATAGCAAAACCTTCATTTTAAAATGAGAGAACTTAAAGACTTCAAAATTGTATGTAGGGTCACCTGGCCACTGACAGAGCATGACTTAAATCTATATTCTATAGTGTTCTTTCCACCGTGCAACATGGATAGTTAGCTTTCATGAACATACATAATTATTTATCTACACTCCTCCATGTTCTCTCTTAACACCTTCAGAAACCACTGCTGAAAATTACCCGGAGTGGGAAGCTGAGATCTGCCTATTGTTGTTTGATCTGCCTGCAATGGCTTTAAAAGAATAAAGGGCCTTTTCTCTTTTGCCTTCCACATTTCTTAGGTGAACCATCACTGACGAACTC